ACACCTCAGGGCTATGGGCTCTGGGGACTGCGAAGCTGTTCCAGATATGAAAGTAGTGCCTGCAGTGCTGAGCTTGCTGGGAACAGTGAAAAGGCAAGAGGGAGCAGACAGGGAGTGGGGCGGGTGCTGAGCTGCTCCAGGCTTGGGGTTCAGGTCACTCCCTGCAGGAGAGCAGCCCCTCAGCAGCAGCGTGGGGCTCACACAGAGCTCAGTTTGCTCCCTGCTGCCCCACCACAGGGAACTCGGCATGGCCTGACCCTCCCTGTCCTGTCTCTTTGTGCCTGAAGGTCTGAAGACGCCCAGCAACTGTGAACTGGTGGTGGGGGGCGAACCTCAGTGCTGGGCTGAGGGTCGGTGCCTGCTCTTCGACGACTCCTTCCTGCACACAGCGTTCCACGAAGGTGAGTTCAGTGTGTGGGGCATCATGGTGTCCCCTTTGTGTTGGGGACTGGGGATGAGTCAGGGGGGCACACATGCCCAGTCCCTTCTGCTGCCCCAGCAGGGCTGAGGTCCGTCCTGGGCGCTCAGGGCCCTGGCCTGCCTCAGGTGGGAGCATTCCTGTCCCTGGCATGGCAGGGCTCCCCATGAACACCTCCCTCTGCCTGAGGGTGCTGGGGCATCCTGGCACCCCTTTCCTGGCACACCCCTGGAGTCCCCCAGCAGCCCATGGCTTGCTCCCATCCCGACTTGCTCACGGTGCTGTCACAGCAGCGCCAGCCCAGCCCAGGGCCTGCTGACTGTTTCTCCTCATGGCAGCTCAGCTTCCTTCATTGCCAAGCTCTGCAGGGCGGCTCCAGCTGTGGTGCCACAGCCTCAGCCTCCTCTGGCCCTAATGCAGCTCGGCCTCGGCCTCAGCCTCCTCTGGCCCTAATGCAGCTCGGCCTCGGCCTCCTCTGGCCCTAATGCAGCTCGGCCCCGGTCTCCTCTGGCCCTAATGCAGCTCGGCCTTGGCCTCCTCTGGCCCTAATGCAGCTCGGCCTTGGCCTCCTCTGGCCCTAATGCAGCTCGGTGCTGACAGGCCAGCAGGGGAGCAGCCTCACACCCGCTGGATTGTTGGATTGTCCCTCCCTCCACTGCTGACGGAGGCTGTTCGCTCCAGCTCTCCCAGATTACCCGGCATTAGTCGCCCATAGCATAAAAGCATCAGGCAGAGCTGTTCTACACAGGGGAGCGTGCGGAGAGAGTGGGAGAACAAAAGCTGTTGCTTCCACATCGAACCTGCTGTGGGATTGGGAAGCACAGCTCCGTGCAGGGCCAGGAAGGCCGGACTGGCGCAGCAGCCGCTCCCTGCACAGACCCAGCACGCAGCTGCAAGGAGGCCCTGCCTCAGGAATGCTCAAATCCCAAAGCACCCAGAGCCTGCCTCATGTCCTTGAGTTCCCAGTAAGCAGCTGTTTACTGGGGTTGCACTTGGGAGGTGCCTCCCCACCCTCACTGTGTGCTTCCACCCCCACCAGGTGCCCCGGAGGAAGGTCCCCGCGTGGTGTTCATGGTGGACCTGTGGCACCCCAATGTGGCTGCGGCCGAGCGTCAAGCCCTCGACTTCATCTTTGCACCGGGACGATGACGGCGCTGCCCGGCCTGGTGGGTTCAGGGCAGCTCGGCCGGGGCCTCTCCCGGCACATGGCCTCGGTGCTCCCTGCTGGGGGTCTTGTAAATGGAAACTGTGACGTGTATCCGCACCCATCTCCTTCCTCCATCGTTGGCTTCAGGGATTCTTTTCCAAGCGCCGGCGCCTCGGCCCCGCTGCCCCCCTGCTCCGTCGTGTTCTGTTGCTACTGTGTTTTGCGGTGTTCAGAAGTAGAGTAACAAACCCAAGGGTGCTCGTTTGAATGTAATGTAAAATTTTTCTCGTGGTCATCAAAGGAACAACACACACACACACACAGCCACCATAACAGCCAACCAGCCTGCCCTGCCCGGCTGCGGTCCCGGATGGACGGACAGATGGACACTGGGGGCTGCCACGGGCACTGTGCTCCCCCCAGGCTGGGTCTGATGGGCTGGGCAGGGCACAGCTCTGCTCACAAAGAACCCTCCTGGGGCTCTTGCTTCCTTCTCCATGTGCCAGCTGGGGCTCCCCAGCCCTCCTGCCCTCAGAAACCCCTTTTGTCAGCCAGGCAGGGAGCAGAGTCCATCACCAGCCCAGCAAGGCAGGAGCCCCGACCTCCACCCTGCTGAGGGAACAGCACACACAGTCGTGCTCTTCAGTCTGACCAAGGGCGTTAGCAATTGCCCAAATTCCTTCCTTGCTCTATCTGCAATCCTCAGTTTTCCCAGCTCCTGGCTGGGAGGCCCTGCAGGGGCAGGGATGCTGTTTGGAAACAGAGAATGGGGGTTTTGTCTGTCTGTAGGAAGAAAGGAGGTCACCATTCCTTCTGCTGCTCCATCTTCTCCTTTCCTCAAGCCAGGGCAGGCACACACAGCAGCAGCTCCCATGGACCTGACACCACAGGACAGCTTCCCAAGGGGGGTTAATTCTGCAGCCTGAACAATGAGGCCCCACCCTGAGGTCCTGCCCACCCAGGGACCACCACGCTTTTCCTGAAGTCCCCCAGCACCAGGGTCTCTTGGGGGTCTGGGGGCTGGTTTATAACATCCCCCCAAAGCACAGTGTGTGGTGGATGCTCACAGCTCTGGCTGGGGACCCTTTGCCTCTGTGCCCTGTCCCCCAACAACTTCTTTACAGACTTTTCAGTGGTTCGATTGCAAGAGAAGGCAGAGATTTCAAATACATCTGAGATATTTTTTACAGCCGTCTTGTTACAGACTACCTGAAGTGCATGATTTCTACACGCATTGGCTACCTGGACACAGGCCCTGGGGAAGCAGGCTGGCTCTGTCCAAAGGTTGGTAACATTCATACAGTGGATAAGCAAAGATTATCAATAAACAGTTGTGCTGAAAACAGAATGGGCTTTGCCTGCTGCTCTAACAAGTCCAGGGTCAAGCAAACACCGAGGGGTTGGGTCCTGCTTATCTGGCTGCTGGTGGGGAGAAGTGGCCTGGAAGGAGCAGGAGCTGCAGGGTGGGAGGGGGCACGGGCCTGTTTGCCAGGGATACAGTGAGTGTGGCTAGTGCTCAAAAACAACCAGCCCATGGAAACTCTGTCCTGACCAATCACAGCCTCCCAGGCCTGGATTTGGCCAGGTTGGATGGGGCCCTGAGCAACCTGGTCTAGTAGGTGAATCCTTGCCCATGGCAGGGACTTGCAAATGGATATTTGAGGTCCCTTCCAACCCAAACCATCCTGGGATTCTGTGACGTCAGTGGAGCCCAGGCTGCCAAGGAGCACAGGGAGCATCTCCCAGAGCCTGCTGGTGGGGGACATCTGTGGGTTCCAGCCCTGCTGCCTGGCCCAGGGCAGCAGAGACTGTCCCCAGCCATCCCCAGGAGCAGCTGCAGGCCTGAAGCTCCCCACAGAAGCCATCAGCCTTGCCAGAACATCCACAAACCATTTCAGGAATTGCTTCCAGCTGCCTGCACTGATTCATCAAAGGCAGCAGCTTCCCAGGAGCAGCTCCAGGGCAGAGGGTGCTGCTCAAATCCCGCCCAACTGCCTGCAAACCAATGCCTCACCCCCTTAAGCACAAAGCCAGCTTGGCAGGGCAGGAATTGCTCCCCATGAGCCCCCCTGGCAGCACTCAGACAGGCCCAGCTGCTCCTCATCCCCTGATGCTCAAAATGCCCCATTTTTAAGCATCTTCTCCAGCACAGCCATCGCCCTGTGGGCTGGGAGCTTTCTGTGTGCTGTTCCCTCCTGACCAGCACAGGGCTGGGTGGGCAGGCATGGGCTGGGTGGGCAGATTCAGCCCGAGCAGCTGAAGGAGCAGAGCCAGCCCAGCTGTTCCTGGCTGGCAGACGGCTCAGCAGATTGCAGTGCAGGATCCCTGATGGCAGCAGGCAGGAGCATCCATCCGCTTTGAGCTTTGCTGCTGTGCCAAATCTCCCTCCTGTCCCTCTCAGGCTTTTCCTTCCACTTCTCTGTGTTTCCTGCTAGAGCACACAACACTTCCCAAGCGCTCAGGCTTCAAGTGGATCTTCAGGATCCAAGTGGATCTCCCTGAGGAGCAGAGCAGGCTGGAGCTGCTCCTGGTGCCCCAAGGCTTCCTCTCCTGGGAATTACAGAGGGAATCCAGATCTGCTGAGGGCACAGAAGGGACAGGCAGAGCAGCATCTCCCAGAGGAGTCACTTGGCTCAGCTGAGCAGGGATCCCAGAGAACACAACCCTCATCCCTCCTGCCTTCTCCCACCCTGCAAAACCTCCCTGATGTTCTTCCTCACAATATTCCCTGAGCTCCCTCCAGAACCAGAGTAGTTTGTCCATCACCCAGTGGATTTGTGCCGGGAAGTCATCAGGGAAGCAGCACCTTACCTTGTGCCATCTTCCACATGGATGCCACTGAAACAGGAGATCACCAGGGTGACTCCAGCTCAGGCTTCCCAGGGAGTTTTCACTCCTACGCTGCCAACAGGCTCCTGGCAGTCCTTTCATGCCCAGGATGGGAGCAGTGCCATATGACTCTGCTCCTGCTGAAACACCTCCTCAGCTGCCAGGGCTGCCAGCCAAGTGGCATCTGTGCCCAGCCACTCCTCTGGAGTCCTCTGAACTTCCCAGCAATGTCTGCAGAGCAGGCCTTGAATGGCAGAGTGACCTTGGGAACTGTCTGTGCTGGAGTGGGAGCAGAAGCTGTGGCAGTGGTGACCTTCCCATGCCCAGCTCTGATTCTAGCACGAGCCTGCTCAGCACCTCCCCACATTCATGTCTCTGTTCAGCATCTCTTGGTGACACCAGTCACACAGCTATCCATCAGGAAGCTTCCAAGCAGCTGCTCTGCAGGACTGACTGAACCAACAGGCTCTGCCTGTTCAACCCCAGCACTGCAGGAACCACCCTTGGAGGAGGTAAACAGGGAACAGCTCCCACAGCCCAGCCCATCACACCAGGAAGCACAAACATGACAACAACGTGACTCTGGCTGCTGACACAGTGCTGGGATGAGCCTTGGAGACTCCTTTATTTCCAGTCACACTGAGGGGTGTGTCTGCACCAGCAGCAGGTTCCAAGCCCAGCCAAACACAGCTATCCAACCCTCAGTCTAAGCAGCCACCACCAAGGGCCTCCCCAGCCACCACTGACTGGGGACACTGTCAGAGCAGAAAGGGGACAGCTGCTGAGGGGATACAAAACCTCTTTGGTCCCATCAGCTAAGAGGCAACTCTGGGGTCTGCAGAGTGTGGGCAAACAGAGCAGTGAAGTGAGGTCCTGCAGCAGGAGGGAGCACAGGCTGAGGGACACTCACACCACCACCACCACCAGCCAGCCCCTGGGAGGCTGCACAAGGAGGGCAGGGCTGGGCTGGACCATCACTGACCAGGGAGGTGTAGAGGGACAGGGACATCCCTTCTGAGTCGCCTGTGGCATAAAACCACCTGGGAGCACCCAAAGGGGGATTGTGAGCTCTGCAGCTCTTGTTCTGCTCCCGTGTGACAACAGGCAGGCACTGCTAACCAAGGTAAGGCACAACGTCATGGAAGGATCATTCCCATGGATTAAGGGACAGAAATAAAGCCAAAGTCTGACCAGGGCAAGTGCAGGCACAGACAGTGGCTAAGTGACATCTCTGAAAGCCAGCAGTGCCCAGGGGCTGTGTAACTCAGGGCAAGGTGAGGTTTTACCTCAGATCAAGGCACGTGGGGTGTCTGCAGAGCACCAAGAGAGTCCCTGTGAAGTCCATGTAAACCAAGAGCCTCGAGATGCTGTGTTCTGTCCTCAGTCTTTGGTAAATGCTGTCAGTGACACCTGCATCAGCCCAAAACGTGCTGCAGGACAGGGCAAGGAGTGTCCCTTGCTCAGGGCCAGGCAGGCTGGAGACTCCACAGAGGCAGGGCAGGGCCTCGTGCCTCTGTGGGCATAAACAGCTGAGATTTTCCTTACTGGAGATGAACACTGCACAGGGCTGAGCCGTTGTCTGAGCACAGCAGCTCACAGCAGGTTCACCCCATGCTTCAGCAGCTTCTGCTTGGCCTTGCTGGGCAGGCTGAAGGCGCTGTCGTGTGGGTTGGGGACGCCTGAGTTGCGGAGTGGAGCTCCCAGCTGCTGGAAATAGGTCTCCTGGACAGGATTCCGGCAGGCATACACGGCTGTGGAGGCGTTCCTGGAGGGGAAGGGAGAGGTAGGGGTCAGACTGACAGCTTTGGGCAAGATTCACAGCTGGGCACTGGGCTCCCAAGTTTTGGGAAGGACTTTCAGGTGTCTCAGCATGGAGCTGAATAGGCACCAAACCCCTGAAGGCCACAGAGAACCAGATCCTCCTTCTAAAGGGTCCTGGCATCCTTAAAAGGGAAAGTGAGATATCACAAAATCATTTAGTTTGGGAAAGACCTCCAAGACCATCAAGTCCAACTGTGACTGAGTCCAGCTCAGTGCTCTGGACTGGGTGACAAGGTGGGGATTGGCCAGAGGCTGGACACGATGGTCTGGGAGGGCTTTTCCAAACTTAATGACTCCGGGATTCTGTGTGTGGCCACACTCCAAAGATTCCCCTTGCTGCCAGCCCAGCCTAGCACACCATGAGCCTGGAACACTCCTCGTGCCTGACATTCCTCCTCTCCCACTGCTGCTGGCCACAACCAAATCCCAGCACAGCACCTGGCACAGGAACCACGTGTTCGCTCACAGGTGTGATGAAGCTCAGACAAGAGTCAAATTCAGTCACCACCAAAGCTGTGATTAAAAACATTAATTAAGACTAAGAATCCCCCCTCTCAAAGTATTCCCTGCAGGAGGGCTGGCAGATTGGCCACAGGCTGGACACGATGGTCTGGGAGGGCTTTTCCAAACTTAATGACTCTGGGATTCTATGTGTGGCCACACTCCAAAGATTCCCCTTGCTGCCAGCCCAGCCTAGCACACCATGAGCCTGGAACACTCCTCGTGCCTGACATTCCTCCTCTCCCACTGCTGCTGGCCACAACCAAATCCCAGCACAGCACCTGGCACAGGAACCACGTGTTCGCTCACAGGTGTGATGAAGCTCAGACAAGAGTCAAATTCAGTCACCACCAAAGCTGTGATTAAAAACATTAATTAAGACTAAGAATCCCCCCTCTCAAAGTATTCCCTGCAGGAGGGCTGGCAGGGAGCAAAGCCAAGGACCCTGTATTCCTCCTCGAAGGAGGAAAGCAGCAACTGCTATGTTTGCTGACACCCTTCTGTGACAACTCTCCATAAAAGAAAGCAGTTTTAGTCATCTTGTTACTCAGGCTGATTCACACATGGAGTTTCTTTTTTCGGGGTAACAGGGAACATGCCAGCTTAGCCAGCCAGTTTAGGATTGGATTTAAGGAGCCAGTGAAGCTCATGCTAAACAAGGAATTCTCCAGCACTGACGTGTGTGATTCACATTCCCTTGGCAAGCGGTGCCAGAGTTACTGTGTAATTCCCAGGAGCATCTTTATTTCATCATGTTTTGGACAAACAAGCAGGACCAGGTGGGTGGAATCTGTGCACTCCCAGCTCAGCTGAGGAAAGGGGTGTCCACTTCAGCCATGGCCTGGGAAAGGGCTCTGGATGTCAGGAAAAGCTCTGGGTTTTGGGAAGGGCTCTAGCTGTGATAAGACCATCCTGGCTGGTGCATCACAATTGAGTTTGCCATGCACATCACAGTGTGTTTCCAACCCAACAAGCTGTGCAAGAAAACAATATCTAGGTTGCCAATTCTGGGTGCCTTTGGCTCTCTGCCGAGACACAAATTTATTAGGAACAGCTAAATTTAAAACTGCGTCTTAGAACCTTACGGTGCCAGGAACTGGCAATTGTGTCAGTGTTGCATCTTAATCCAAGCCATGGCACCACTCAGCTGTGCCCTCAGTCCACCCCCCTGGTGCCACTGCAGCCTCTCAACATCCAGAAGCCCACAAATCAAAGCAAACTTAGGGAATAAAGCAATGTGACTGGTCCTTGGGTGTGGTGACAACCTGGTCAAAACCCAGCCAGCCTTGGAGAGGGGTTCTGCCCTTCTGTGACAGCCTGGGACAGGAGGGTTGTGAGCACCCCTTACCTGATGATCACCTCTGAGGCCGAGGGGAGCTGGCTGAAGTCGGAGTGGATGAGTGTGGCTGCCCTCAGGAAGTGCCGGTCCAGGGGCCCGGGGGTGTGGGGCAAGTTGGCTGCACAACAGGAGAGAGGGGGTTAAAAACCCACCCTAGTTGGCTGCACAACAGGAGAGAGGGGGTTAAAAACCCACCCTGCAGTGTACCCCTGTTCCCTGAGCAGGAAAAGGCCCTGGAGCTCACCACACACCCTGGACAGCTGCAGAACAGGCTGGGGACAGCCTCAATGCCAGCAGACAAAGCTCCCCCAACAGGGCCTTTGATCTGGACTCTGTGGTGGGAGCTCTGCTGAGAAATGGTGTCTGAGGCATGAGAAAAGGCTCCCATAAACCCCATTCTCCTCATTGCTTCTTCCTGCAGGCCCAGAAGAAGAAGGCTCACCCGTGAGGACATTCTGGACACAGTCATAGTGTGTGAAGCTGTAGCTGGTCCTGGCTGAGGCCGAGGAGTCCTTGGGCAGGGTCTCTCTCAGGTGAACCTCGAGGCCATTTAGGGAGGCCAGGCTGCTGTGGTACTGCAGGAAGAGGGAAAGGAAAAGCTCAGAGCCTCACCTGTGCCCCACCTGGGCTTCAAGGAGGTTCTGGAAGGAGTTCAGGTGACAGAAGGACCAGACCCTTCCTCGCTCTACTGTCCAGGCTCCCACCTAAAATGGCTGGGAAATTTTGGCATGGAGGGAAGCAGACAAGTCACAGAGCTCCCAAGGCAGTAATGGGGCTCTGGAAAACCTGGTCCAGTGGGAGCTGTCCCTGCCCATGGCAGGGGTTGGAATGGGATGGGCTTTAAGGTCCCTCCCAACCCAAACCAGTCTGAGGTTGCACGACCCAGAAAAGGGCCCTCCAACCTGAAAATCAGCCATTAAGCCACCTGATGCTACTAATTACAGGAAAATGCAAGGCCCCATTAATTTACCATCAACCATTACTCTTCAGGGCTCATTTCACATGATTTACAACCCCAGCAAGGGACATTCCTTTGCTTACACCGGGCAGCACAAACACACACAACAAAGCACTGAATGAATACCAAGCTGATATCCTGGATGGATTTTCAGTAGCCTAGAGGCCCTGATCATGCTGAGGCTCCCTGGGCACAGGCAGGGCACAGGCAGGGGTCCTCCACCACTCCTGGGAAGATTAACTCCATAATCCTCATCCTGCCAATGCGCTTTCCCCTACTGGGGAGAGGATCAAGCTTTTTTTCAGCAGGACGGCAGTGCCTGGCCTATCCTTGACCCCTGTCATGGCACAGATTTTCCTTTCTGTGCAGTGAAATGAAGGGATAAGACCTAAAGAGAAGCAGGAGGCGAGGCCAAGAGCCTCCCACTCCACAGGGAAAGTCTGGGATAGAACCCGCCCTCCCAGAGGTTCACAGCTGCACAAGTAGCATATTTTACCCTTCTTTGGTGTCATTTGGGGGCCTCAAAGCATTCAAAAAAACATTAATTATAACTAAGCTTTGACATCCCTGAGAGCTGAGGGTCATTTTTAACCTACAGATAAACAAAGGGACAGACAAGCTGGGGTTGTGCCTCAAATCCACCAGCAGCAGAGCCCAGCTGCAGCTCCTCAGACATTGCCCCTCCTCCTGGGACAATGGGAGGTGCAGGGCACCTCTCCCGAGGGATAACACACCTGCACCCACAGGAGGGTGCAGCAGAAGAGCCCAGCCACAGCTGAATTCCAAGCTGTGTGACAGTGCAGTTTTGGTGAGATCCAAAACAAGGGTACGTGAGATGGAAGCAGATATTTGGGAAAAGAGGAACCTGAATGGAATGAGAGCTTGTCAGCGCCAGGGCAAGACATCAAGGAAGATGAACTGTGCAATCCCTGTGCAATAGGGATTCCGCTCTCCAACGTGACAATTCCCACCTGCCTGTGTCCCCCCTGCTGTTCCAGACGAGGAGAAAGGGGACAAAGTGCCATGTCTGGTGCAAAGGGGCCCAGCTGCACCTCTGGGCTCAGCTGATTTGGCAGAATCCCAAGCCAGGCACATCAGCCCTGCTGTGCAGAGCAGACATTCCCCAGCTCCCGGGGCCCCAGGTGTCCCACAGCTCCGAGGGGAAGGAGCAACCTTGAGGCTCTGCATTAGTCTGAGCTTCCCTCCACCTTCCAGTCTGGCTGGGGAAGGAAATTAGGTTGTTCCTATGGCAACTGGCATATCAAACAGGGCTCTGCAGCTTTGACTCAGCTCCTGGTAGGGAGGCAGAGGCCACGCAGCAGCTCTGCAGCTGATGCTTCCCAGGAAAGATGGGGGGCCAGCACATCTTGCCCCTGCAGCCCCGTTAACTCTGCTCACTGAGGAGTCTCGGCACCCAAATCCCACCACGGGGAGATTTGGGATTGCTCTGGTGTTACCTGGGTGCAGTGCCCACATGGCATCCCCAGGGAGCAGCCTGGAGGCTCCCAGAGCCAAGGGAACCTCCCTGGGACCTGCTGCGTCTGCGGTGCTCCCCAAGGGAGAGGCGGTGACGTGCATGCTGGGCCTTTAACACAACCAACCGCCCTTCCCAAAAAGCACCGAACTGACGGGGATCCCCAGCGAATCCCAGCTCCAGCACAGGCCCCTGGCAGCCCGCGGGTGTCTGGCACACCCCCACGCTCTGCTCCGGTGCCGGCAGTGCCAGACAACAGCAGCACCGGGAGCCGCCTGTGAGACGCGGCTGTCCCCGCTCCGCTCAGCTCCGACAGCTCCCACGCAGCCGCGGCTGCCGAGCCCGGCACAGCTCGGAGCAGGTGATGGAGGCACGGGGAGCACGATTCAACACTCCCTGCTCAGCTGTGAGCCCTGTGCTCCCCACCAGTGCAGCTGCAGTGGGGCAGAGCTTTCCCACTCACCACGTCCTCCACGGCGCTGCGGTCCCGGCGCAGCTGCTCCTCAGCCAGCAGCGACAGCACCAAGCCCTGGATGCAGTGAACGTAGAGGCTCAGCTGGGCTGGCTCACCCTCTCTGCCACCCAGCCTGTCCCAGCTGCCTTCCCTGCTGCTGGGACATGGTCTGTCCCTTGCAGGGGCACTGGGCAGAGCCTGCTGAAGCTCTGGGACGTGTGGCTGCCTCCTGCTGAGGAGCTGTGTGTGTCCAGCAGTGCCTGGACAATCCAAGCCCCACCCGTGGTCACCAGCTGTGCTGTCACTCCCTCCAGACACATGCTCCTGGCTCACAGTCCATGGCTTGTCCTGCTCACTGGATTTTCTTCTGCTCAGCTCCTGGGCAGAAGAGGGAACAGCTGGACTGCGGCTGACTGAAAGGGAATTTTGGGAAGCACAGCGGCCAACATCAGAATCTGCAAGGGATTCCGTCTTGTCCTGGCTCTCCTGCTCCCAGGAGTAAGGGTTGGGAAAGGAAAAGCCTTCCAGGTATGGACCTGTAGTCCAAGAACATTCAGTCTGGAGTGAGGAAGGGCTTGGGAGCTGCTGTGTGTCACTCTCTGAGGGGAAGGATGTTTTCCTGCTGAGCTCTGAGTTTTCACTGCCTGCTCCACTCAGGTTTGCAGCTGGAGAATTCCTTGTGCTGGCTCCCATGCCAGAAAAGTCTATCAGAGGACTTGCAGGGCTGCCCAACTGCACAGCATCTCCTGGGGCAGGTATGGCTGAAGGGTCCTCACGGGACTTCTGCACAGAGATTCCATCCAAGGCTTGGTTTTCATGGGCTCCTGTTGATTCTGGAACTGCCTGGGAGCAGGGAGCACTCTCTTCTCCTCTGGGGCCTGCTGGGGACATGGGTGACCTAGTGGGAGGTGACAAGTGGATGAAACACTGAGCAGGATCTGTGTGGAGTTATCCCATAGCTGCTAACCCCACTGGCTCCTGACACTGATCAATGGCTGATCACTGATCAATGGCTGATCCATCCCCTGCTACAAAGAGAACTAGGAAAAGGATGGGTTGAGGTCTAACACAGGTGAAAACCTGGGAATCCTACACTGCAGGCTCCTGGGAATGTCCCTGCCTTGTCCACAAAGCAATGCTGTGAGCTGAGGGACAAGAGATCACAGCTGGTCTGGGGAAGCAGCTCTGCTCCAGGCTGCTTACAGCAGGGATATGGACACGGGAATTCTGCCCAGCCTGAGGGGCCTCAGGCTGCTCCAAAGGCAGTGACAGAGCCCGACTTAGTTCCAGGGAAAACAGTGACAATGGCAACAGGGACACAGTGCCATGGTTTCCTACCTGGCCTTCCACTCCACGGGAAAGTCCCGGAGCGCAGAGACCTCCTGAGCTGTGAGGAACACCGGGAGGACTCGGACACCCGGCGGCAGCAGGGGCTCTGCAAGAGCAGGGGAGGATTCAACAAACATGTCCCAGCTTAAAAACACAAACCAAACCTCATCAACCCAAAGGCTTCTGCAGGAGCTGCAGGCCTGCCATGATGCTGCATCCCAGCCGAGCTGGGCAGCCTGTTCCCACCCTCCCAGCATTTTCCCATCCTGCTCATTCCCTTCATGCCTGACACAGTTAAATTTCTCCTCAGTGTTTCCATCCTGGCAGATCATCTCCACACTGATGCTGAGAGGGGATGGCTGGAGGTTTGGACTGCAAGCACCAGCCATCTGCTGTCAGGGCCTGGCAGTGGCCAAGTGGCCACATGGGGAACTGGAATTAAGGCAGGAATCTGCAGAACTGGAATCAAACCCAAAAGAGCAAACCCAGCAGAAGGAGCTGGTTCTGATCACACAGCACAGGCTGGCTGGTGGCAGCAACACCCTCTGGGATATTTTGGAGCTACTCCAGCACCCAGCTCGGCTTGGGTGTGAATCCCAGAGAACCAGCTCGTGCTCCCATGCAGGGAAGGCAGCCCAAAGGATGCAGCTGGATGCTCACCAGGCTCTTGCAGCTCCTCAGCTCCAGGCTCACTCTGCAACACAAGCCAAAAATCAGCTCTGTGCATGGATCATGGACACCAGGACACCTCTGTCACCCTCCCAGTCCCCCAAGGCCGCAGCAAACCCCACACCACCCCCCCAGCAAATGCTGAAATTGTTCAGTGCTGGGAAGGGTTTTGGTCCTTAGGGAGCTCTCAAAGCCAAGGGGAGCTTCCCAAGAACCAAAATACACCTAAAATTCAGGACAGAGCCCAGATTTATCATCACCACCTGCTCAGGGCACAGAAACTCCCTTCATTCAAGCAGAAGAACAGCAAAGGTTGCCTCCATATCTGCATACTGATGGCTTTTTTACAGAACATCTTGATTACACACATACTAACTTTTGGCAAGTTTTAAAGCAAATGAAAACTGCTGTTTGTCACACACTCATTTGATGGATTTCCCAGAAAATAGCAAAACTTGTGTAAAAAGCAAGTCAAAACACCACATACATGAGAACTCAGGAATTCAGTAAGTTAAAGACTGAAAAAAAAAAGCTAATTCCTAGTGCAGAAGTCTTGGAACCTTTTTAAATCATAACCAATAAAAGCTTTAAGCATCATCACCAATATTTGTCCTTCCCCATGGTGACACATCCCAGATCTGTGTGACAAGAGCTCCCACACCACCATCCTTACAGGAATCTGCTTGCAGGGAATGTGCTCAGTACCATACCTGGCCTGGGGACTGGCTGCCCTGCAGGAGGACTTTGGCAGTGAGTGGAGGTGGCAGCTGGGTGCTCACAATCCTGAAAGGACAAAGCAAAGTCAGAGAAACACAGAACGGTTTGGCTTGGGAGGGAACTCAGAGATCATCAGTTCAGACAACTCTGATGACATCTGGTGACAAAATGTCTCCACCAGACAGACCAGAGACACAAGGTGACACACCCTGGTGCAGGACAAGGCTCCCAAGTCCCTTCTCAGGTCAAATGTCCAGGTCCCTTCACTCTCAGGTGCTGCAGTGACTCACTCCAGTGTCCTGCCTGCAGCTATGAGGTCACTCTCTGGCAGATGCTCTCCCTGTGGCACATTTCCAGCGCCTGTAAAAGGTGTCACTGGAACAGTTCATGCCAAAGAAAAATGGCACTTGAGCACTGCTGCCAAGGAATTCTCGGAATTCCCCACCTCCTGTCTTTCAGGGCCACCTTGGAGGCTTTCCTTGAAGTCATTCAGTCATCTTTGGTTGAAGGAAGCTGGAATTTCTTGTGGGGAATCCTGGCTCATCCCCCTGCACACCTCCTGTCAGTACAGACAGTGGTCCTGGCCAGCAGGTCAGACAAACCCAGGGACACACGGACACACCTGTACTGAACTGCACACCTGCAGAGGGAACGCTGCTGGGAAAGCACAACTTCCACTCATCTCCCTTTTCCTGGGTGACTTCCCCCTAAAAAGCCTCAGAAATTCAGTGCTCACATCCTGCTGAGTACCAAAACCAGCAGATTTCTACTAAAAGCCAAGTCTCGAACTCCCTCATGGTGACGAGCACTGATAACCTTGGAGAGACTGTTCACAGGGGCCTGGAGTGACAGGACAGGGAGGCAATGGATTCAAAACTGCCACAGGCCAGGGTTAGATGGGACATTAGGAAGGAATTCTTCCCATGAGGTGGTGAGGCCTTGGCACAGGATGCCCGGAGAAGCTGTGGCTGCCCTTGAATCCCTGGAAGCATCCAAGACCAGGCTGGATGAGGTTTGGAACAACCTGGGATAGTGGAAGGTGTCCTTGCCCATGGCAGGGGGTGGAACAGGATGGGATTTAAGATCCCTTCCAATCCAAGCCATTGCAGGATCCCACAATTCCATGAACCACTCAGTGTCAGTGACCCACAGACAGCCAGGGGAGGCCTGGCCTGAACCTCTGATGGTTTTGCCAACAACCAAGATCAGCCTTTGAGCCCTTGCTCTGCTCCCTGGATGCACTCCAGGATCCAAGCCCTGGAAAGGGGTGGATTTAACCCTCCAGGGAACAAACACATGGTTACTTACAAGCCTTTGTAGAGGATGCAGCCTGCCAGGACATGGGGAGAGCGCTGGCACGTCTGTAGGATGAGAGCTGCCTTCAGCAAAAGCAGGGGATCCACCTGGGCAGGGAGAACCAGGGCAGTGAGGCCACAGAATCTTGGGAAAGCTCCAAGCAGCAAATAAACAAACACAGTGGCACTGGGGCACTGCAGAGGACAGGCTCTTACCTTGGTTTTGTCCAGATGCCAGAGAGAATTGAAAATCCTGTGGAGGTCACTGGTGTTTTTTTGGATGTGTTCAATGTACCTGTCCCACTCCCTGCTCAGCTCCTCCTGGGAAAACACCTGTGGGTGACAAAACCCCCACAAACACTGTCACTGCAAAGTGTTCCTGCACTCAAGACGGGAGATGCAATCCGTGTGGGACAGGGCCTGCCAGGATAAGGTCAGGAAAAGGTGGGAGACAATACTGAGGGGAACCTCTTTAGGGTGAACATCTGGGAAAGGCTCAGCAGAGCCCCACAGGACCTTGGAGCGATGGCAGGGATGACCTGCTCACTTTTCCAGGTCCCACTTCTTGGATGTGTGACCCTTGGCAGGAGGAAGGCAACACAAGGGAACGCTGCAGAGCTGGGACAGCATGGGAAGTGTTTAAATCTCCCCAAAAGTTACTGTGTCCCCAGCCCCTCATTACCAGGTCTCTCATTGTCATGTCCCAATCTCTCATTACTGTGTCTCCATGTCCCCAGTCCCTCCTTACCATGTCCCAGTCTCTTGTCACCATGTCCCCACATCCCCAGTCCCTTGTTACCATGTCCCAGTCTCTTGTTACAGTGTCCCCATGTCCCCAGTCCCTTGCTACAACGTCCCAGTCTCTTGCTACCATGTCCCCAATCACCACATGCCCAGTCCCTTGTAACCATGCCCCAGTCTCATTACCTTGTCCCCACATCCTCAGTCCCTCATTACCATGTCCCAGCCTCTTGTCACCCTGTCCCCATGTCCCCAGTCCCTGGTTACCATGTCCCAGTCCCTCATTACCGTGTCCCCATGCCCCCAGTCCCTGGTTACCATGTCCCAGTCCCTCATTACCCTGTCCCCATGCCCCCAGTCCCTGGTTACCATGTCCCAGTCCCTCATTAGGGTGAACATCTGGGAAAGGCTCAGCAGAGCCCCACAGGACCTTGGAGCAATGGCAGGGATGACCTGCTCACTTTTCCAGGTCCCACTTCTTGGATGTGTGACCCTTGGCAGGAGGAAGGCAACACAAGGGAACGCTGCAGAGCTGGGACAGCATGGGAAGTGTTTAAATCTCCCCAAAAGTTACTGTGTCCCCAGCCCCTCATTACCAGGTCTCTCATTGTCATGTCCCAATCTCTCGTTACTCTGTCCCCATGCCCCCAGTCCCTCATTACCATGTCCCAGTCTCTTGTCACCCTGTCCCCATGCCCCCAGTCCCTGGTTACCATGTCCCAGTCCCTCATTACCCTATCCCCATGCCCCCAGTCCCTGGTTACCGTGTATGCACCACGCACGGGGCCGTGGTAGAAGGTGAAGAGGCCGATGAGCTGCTCCAGGAGCCGCCGGCAGCTCACGTCAGGCAGCTCCACAGCACAGCCCAGAACCTGCAGCAGACACAGCAGGGATGGAGAAGGTTGTGTGACAGAACTCGGGCACGACAAGTGAGAACAGCTCTCATCGCTTTCACACAAGGACAGGCAGCTCTGTGCAGGCAGACACCCCTTGGAATCACAGTCACAGGAAAAGGAAATGCAAACATACCCACACAAAAGCCCTGGCACAGTCAGGATAAATAAATACCAGAAATGCAGCGCTTCAGACACGCTCCCTTCCCACGTTAGATGACCTAACTTGGTGCTTTAATAGCTAAGAACATTTTCCTGAAACTAAGTACTTCAAAATATTCTAATTAACTCATTATTTATATTGTGGTGATGCTCCATCTAGTTTTTGAATTGCTGAAACAGAAGCAGCAGTGCCAATTAAATGGGGCTGACTGGCCTCAGCCCAGTTCCCAGGGGATGGTTTGGGGCACTTTTGTCACAACTGCCACACACTGCTCTTTATATTCTAAATATCTGTGGACACTGACAAAGCTCTGGAGGGCTGGAAGGAAAGAGCAATCAGACTATCAAACAGTGGCTGTGTCCTTACAAACTGCAGCACATGGAATCCTGTTATGCCCCATTCCTGGAAATGTCCAGGTTGGACTGGGACAGTGGAAGGTGCCCCTGGCAGGGGGTGGAACTGGATGAGCTTTAAGGTCCCTTCCAACCCAAACCAGTCTGGGATTTTGGGATTCTGTTTCCAGCCAGGAGCATCTTAAGAAATCCCTTTGGGCGTGGGCACAGAATTGAGGTACTTGAAATGTTCCTGCAGGAAGCTGAAGCGACTGCCAGGCCTCAGAAAACAGAATTTAAGTTATGAATGAAATGAAATCTGTGCACTGCAAGGACCCTCCCCAGCAATCCCTGGGCGCAGCCCACACCCTGACAAATAAACCCTCATTGTCTGATCCACCCTTCAGCCCCTGGCTGTTTTCACTGTGTGACTGCTCCGGAGCTCCTGCACTCACCCACAGAAAGTCTCCATCCACCACCACGGCAAACTTGAGCTTCCTGAGGCGGACGAGGCTGGGAGGGGCCCCGGAGATCTCGGTGAGGCAGCGAACAACCCCGGCCATCTGCCCACACAGCAGCTCCTGCTGCTCCGGGATGGTCTGCCAGGGAGACAAGGCTTTAACTTCCCATTAAAAGAACTCGGAAAAAAAAAAAAATCACTGCTGTTTTTAGGTATAAATAAAAAGTCATTATCATTTCAACTCAATTTGCAGAAAGGGCTGTCAGGAATTGGCACAGGCTGCCCAGGGCAGTGGTGGAGTCACCATCCCTGTAAGTGTTCAGAAAATGTGTGGGTGTGGCACTTGGGGACAAGGTTTAGTGGTGAAGAGGGTGCTGGGCTCATGGCTGGACTTGATTTTATTCCAAGCTTAACAACTCTAGGATTCTATAAATCAAACGCAGTAGAACAGGCAAATTTCTGGGAGAAAAATAATTGGATTGTTTTTCCAGGCAGCACAAGGGCCTGGGGCTTATGGAAAGTTCCGAGAGGAACTTTCATCCCTCATGTGTGTTTATTGACATCACCAGGACAGAGCTGGGCTGTGCTGGCCCATTCCTGAGGGAGGGAGCAGAGTTTAACCCCACTGCTGTGCCCTGAAAGCCCAGCCCTGCTCCACCTGGAGTTAACTGATAATTGAGATTTCTCAAAAAAAATTTCTTAAAACTTTTGTGACTACTAAGTAAGGATTAATCCAAATCACCTGGAAGCCCGACCCCTCCTGACCCAGAATCATCAGCAACCCTTTACAGGTAATACAGCAGACATTACCTGGGGAGGGTAAAAATAACAGATGCCAGCACTTGTAGGATCCCCTTCCTCCTTCACTTTTGAGCCATCATAAAGGAAAAAGTAATTCCACCTAAAAAACATTGGCAGAAATGATTGTGTATTTGAAAGCTGTTACCCTTCTCCCTCTCCTTTCTATTTCTTCAGAAGAGCAACAAAAAGTTATTGTAAATGGAGAGACATGATTCTTTGCACAATCACACCGACTTTACACCCAAAAGTAGCACCAAAAAGGTCCCTCATGACTAAATTTGACCACTTCTGTGAGTTTAAAACAGGTTCTATAACTCCAACTCTCAGACACCTGGAAGGAGAACTGGAAAGAAAGTGGATTTGTGAGATATTGCACCTTCAGCAGACGGGATAATCATAATTAAGAGAGTACAATAATTATTATAATTATCGAGAATTATTATCCATGTGCATCTCAAGCAGCTCCCGGGTGCTGCCTGCACCCAAGAGCTCCCGAGGAGCAGGAGACAGCAGAGTCCCTCTGACGATGTGATATCATTCTGCTCACAATTTCTCGAATTCTGTGTGAGAAACTATAATTTCTCGAACGCACGTATTCAGTAACACTTTCCATTCTTTCCCGTCAGTCAGCACAAGCTCGGAACGAGCTTCGTGCGGGAGTTTTCCCGCAGGAGCAGCCCAGCTCTGGAGCACAGGCTGACCTCAGAGGTGGCGCCGAGGAAGCCGCGCTGCTGCCGGGCCGGGAGCGGGGGGCTGGATCCGCTCCGCGGCCCTGCAGGGACCCACGGCCCGGGACCGAGCTGCTGAGCCCCGGGGGCTGCCAGAGCTCACCCACGACCGGGGACAGCAATCAGCGAAGGGCCGGAGGTGTTTCCCGGGCTCGGCGCGGGGAAGGGGCTCACCATGGCGCGGGGCCGGGCGCGGCGGGGCGGGACATGGCTGCGGGAGGCTGCGGCGGCTCGGGGATGCTCCGCGCGGTTCCGGGATGCTCCGGGATCGCCCCGCTCGCTCCCGCCGCCGGTTCCGGGCGCGCCCCCGGTCCCGTGACCGCGCACGTGACCGCGCGCATGGCGGCGGCGGCGGGAGGGTGGCGAGCGGGGCGCGCCCGGCGGCGGCGGCGGCGGGGCCGGGGCGAGGAGGAGGAGGAGGATGATGAGGAGGAAGGGGAAGGCGGCCCCGGAACCGAAGCGGTGCTGCGGCGGCTGCGAGAGGCGCGGTGAGTGCCCGGCCCCGGTCCGTGTGTGTTCTCTCCCCGCCGGGCCCCGCTAACGCCGCGCTCTCCCCGCAGGGACGATCTGCTGAGCTCCGGCTTCTGGGCGGCGAGCGCCGGTGAGTGCGGGGAGCGGGGGGTGCGGGACAGCGGGGACAGCGAGCCCCGGCTCCGCCGCGCTGACCCCGCCGCCCGCAGGAGCCGTGCGGGCCCCGCTGGGCGCGGAGCCGCCCGCCCGCTGCGTGTGCTACGGGCTGGGCCGGTTCGGGCGCTGCCCCGCCGCCCGCTACCAGCTCGCGTTCCTGCTGCTGCTGCTGGACGAGCTGCGGGTGAGCACCGGCACCGGGGGGAGCAGCGGGGGCAGCAGCGGGCCGCTCCCCGCTCACGCCGCCCTGTCCCCGCAGGTGCCGCCCGCCCGCTGTGCGGTGTTCGACCCGGCCTTCTCGGCGCGGGAGGCGGCGGCGCTGCGAGCGCTGGGGCTGTGCCTGCTCCCGGAGAATGAGGTGAGGAGATCCCCGGGTCGGACCGCGGGGGCCCGCGGACAGGGCTCGGCCGTGACGGGCTCGGTGGTTCCCGGGCAGGAGGGGAAACACGGCATCGAGGGCGCGGCCACGCTGTTCTACATGGTGCACTGCGGGAAGGCCCTGTACAACAACCTGCTGTGGAGCAACTGGAGCCCAGCGGCGCTCTCCAAGCTGGTCATCATCGGGAACAGCTTCCGAGGAATCGAGGAGAGGTCAGGGCACAGCCCGGACAGGCTCTAGTGCCTCCCTGATTTCCTTTTCTCTATCCCCCACTTTATTTTTATTGCCTCAGTCAGGAATTTCCCTGTTTTGCGCATTTTCGTTGCCGTAAAGTTTTCAGTCATGAGTCCTCTCCCCCTCCTCTGTTCCCACCCCCATGCAGAAAACCTGTCTAAATCCACGGGAATGTAATGTCTAACGTGGACATCTTCTGTTACTGCAGATTGCTGTCCAGAATCTTGGAGAGAGATTATTCTTACATAGCAAAGGTATGAGGCAACAGTTTAACAGTTTCATGTTGACAACACACCTTTTAATGAAAATGGAAATGAACTGCCATTGGAAAGAAGAGGGGGTTATTTTCAAAACCTTTTTCCTAGACACTGTAATATAAAAGCTAATCACTTTAGGATTGTTGAACATCTGCAGAACATCCTGCACACAGGGGCTGAGGGTAATGTAACAGCATTCTCATCCTCACTGGCTCAGCTTTGCAGGAAGGGGCTGCTGCATTGTAACTTTTTCCCCAAATGATCTTTAGGTCTTGAAAGGAGTGGAGGAAGTGGCACTCCCCAGTCACCCCCGCTACCTGGACACCTTCAATGACACCTCTGTGCACTGGTTTCCCTTGGATAAACTGCAGGAGCTCTCCCCTGAGGTCTGGGACTTCATGGAGGAGCCGCTGTACCAAGATTGTGAGGACCTGGAGATCATCAGGAAGGGGGAGGAAGCTACTGCCAAGTCCTGACCATCCCTGTGGTGGCAGGGCTGGGATCCACATCTCTTCCCATGGAAGCTTCTGTGCAGCTAAGATAGAGCTCAAGGAGCAACTGTGGCATCAGGCTCTGTACAAACTAGCAGCACCTGAATGCTGAGGTGATGGGACGTTTTTTGTATTTTGTTTAATAAAAAAGTAAAGCTGAGCTTTGATTTATACTCACTGAACCACAGCAAACTAATTCCACCAAAACCTGCCTTGGGAGCCATTCCCACTGCAGTGATTGCCCTTTGATTCCCTCCCCTTCCATAACAATTCAAGGCCTTTGCATGTCCTACACACATTGCAAAGCATCAGGAAGGGGAAATTATCAGAGGGGTTTGTAGAGGGAGGTGTTTGGGTCTGGTTCCCTGTGCACGCTTGGAAAAAGCTCCCAGCTATCTTTGCTGCTGAGATCAGCTCTTGATCAGTCCTGAGAACAACCAGGTTGGCTCCCTCCAGGAAAAAAAGTCTTAGTGTTCCTTCACCACTGCAGCCCCACAGCAGATAGAGCTGGGACAGGTCCTGGCTGTGTGCAGCGAAGAAGAGCCCACTGTGTGAGGGATATTGTGGGGACAATAACTCACTGCCAGCACAAGCTGTGACATCTGTCACTAGACTCAGGGGACTCAGCTAGGTCAGCCCTCACTGAGCTGTTGGAGCAGAGAATGTGATCCCTCCTAACCTGCTGGTAAACCTGTCCCAGGTGGCAATTACAAGTGTCAGTGCTACTTGTTCTCCCTTAGTCTGGCTTCCTGAGTTGGGAAGTCTGGCCCTCCATCCTCTTGCCACTGCCTGAACAGCTCTTCCAATAAAACCATCCTGGCATCCAGCTCCAGTGTCACTATTTACAAACCTGGAACTTTATTCTAAGTGTTACCCAGAAGCTGTTCCTGGCTGGTGACTCAGTCCCCAGCAGGGCCTCACTTGGCCATGTCAATGAGGCTCTGCAGCGAGGTGGGCACCCAGGTGGGTCTCCCCTTCCCCAGAGACCTCACTTGGCCATGTCAATGAGGCTCTGCAGCGAGGTGGGCACCCAGGCTGGTCTCCCCTTGCACAGAGACCTCACTTGGCCATGTCGATGAGGCTCTGCAGCGAGGTGGGCACCCAGGTCTTCTCCCCTTGCACAAACACCACGCCCCTGTCGATGTAGATGACGATCCTGCCGAAGGTGTAGAGCTGCTTGCCCTCGTGCCTCTTCCCGATGACGGGCATGAAGACGATGTTGTGCTCCTCGGCCTTGGTCTGGATGAGGTCCTTGAAGTTCATGGGCACGGAGCCGGCGGCGGCGCCGATGCCGCGCTGGGCCATGTTCTCGGCCTCGCGCCGCTCCTGCATGGCCTCGTACTGGAAGTCCTTGCGCCGCTCTGTGTGCGTCAGGTACGCGATGTTCTCCCGGGCGCCCGGCTGCATGTACCCACCTGGGGAGAGAACGGGGAGAACACGGTCCTGAGCTGCTGCCAGAGGGAAGCAGCTCCATCCAGGACAGGAATTGGAGGGTGGTGTTCAAGTTTGGGCTCAGAAAGGGAGTTCTCAGTTTTGGAAAGAGGGTGGATTTCCGGTGCTGCTCCCTCAGGCACACCCTTCTCTTTTATTCAGTGTAACTCCCAGTGAATTCCCAATTACCACTTTTAGGTAGTAGGGAGAATCATGTGGAAGGGAACTGCTGGTTCCCTTCACCTCACCATAAAGAAAAAAATACCCAGTAATGACAGTTTTAGAAGTCAAGCCCTAAAGGATGATGTCTGACTGACAGGGCAAGGCTGGAAGAGAATCAGTTGTTCAATGGCCACCAAAATCTGTTTCTGCTTCAGTGCAGCCCAGAACTATTGAGCAGCACCTCAGACATGTTCTTTAAGGACAGAACAAGGCAGAGCCCACTGACTTTCACTCATGGGAGTTCCTGCCATGGTGCCAGCAGGGCCATGCCCCAGTCAGCCTCCCAGTGCTGCCAGCCCAGAGCAGCAGAGCCACCGCCACGAGCCACCTACCCACGCTGGAGGACACGGCCCGGTTCATGATGTCAAGGGCTTCGTTGAACTTGTCTTTGATGGAGGGATGTGCCAGCACCTGGTCTGAGAACATGGACTTCCAGCCCAGGTACCACTTGGTGATCTCTTCGTAGTTGGGGCTGTTACTGAGCCAAGAGCAGAGCACCTGCGGAGCAAGGGACAGGTCAAAAGCAGCACAGGGACGTCTGTGCAGGACAGGCCTCTGCCACAGAATGCCAGAGTCATTTAACATGGAAAAGACTCCAAGAGTATTGAGTCCAATGTGTGACCAATCACCCCGTTATCAACCAGCCCAGAGCACTGAGTGCCACATCCAGGCACTCCTTAGACACCTCCAGGGATGGGAACTCCACCACTTCCCTGGGCAGCCTCCTCCAGTGCCTGACCACCCTTTCTTTCCATGAGGAAATTCCTCCTGATGTCCAACCTGAATCTCTCCTGGCATAATTTACCACTTGGTTTATTACTGCCAGTAAAAGCAGGAACTGTTCCAATGACTACTGAGCTGTGAGTGGAAACCAGCCCAGCTCAGCAATTCCTGGACAGGAATCACTGAAACACTCCCCAGTTAACCAAAACTCTTTCCTCAGCCCTCAGTGTCTCACCTGCAGCCACTTTGGGAAGAAGTGTTTCTCCAGCAGCCCAACGAGGCTGGAGACAGAAATCATCCCCTCCCAGTCGATCACCCAGTAAAAAGCATCCATGTGCTGCTGGTGAGGGTTGATGATGAGCTCATTCAGACACATTCCTGGGAAAGGAAAGGACAGTTACAAAAGAGCCTCACTCAGTTTTATCAGTGCCCTGATGTCTTTCACTACCAATACACAGAACTTGAGCAGCACCTTTTTGTTATCCTAAAGGACAGTGGGGATCTTTGGCTGATCTTGCCACAAAATGGTGCAGCTCCACTTTCAGTGATTACAATTTGCAGCACTTGACTATTTTTTAACAAAACACTTCACTATTTTTTAACCTTTGAGCCTCTTTGCATTACAAAACTCGTGGTGAAACATTAGAACCAAGGAATTCAAGAGTAACAGAGAGACATCTTACAGCCTGGTCCTACCTGACAGTTCTCGGATATTCCTACCAGCTGGAGATGGACGATTTATAAAAAATAAGAAGAAAACCTAGAGAACAACCAGAGTAATTCCTTCTCATCTTTCTGCCTCTGCACAGGACTGGCAGAACATCAGAGGCAAACTTGGTCTAACCTCACGAACAACAATCTCTGATGTAACACCGGCACCAACATTAGCAAGGGTGAAGGTGCCACTGCCAGCACTATTGTCTCACCGAGTTTAGGCACGATGTTCTTGACCATGAAAGCCTCCCAGGAGCCAGGAGTGAACACATCCTTCCAGGGCTGAAGGAT